AGGGAGGAAGGAAGGAAGGAAGGAAGGAAGGAAGGAAGGAAGGAAGGAAGGAAGGAAGGAAGGAAGGAAGGAAGACTCAGGAAGCAGAGGAAGTGGATCTCTCACGGCCAGTAGAGTTTACACAGAAAGTTCTAGGCCATCCAGGACTACAGAATCAAACACCACCCCAAAAATATCTAATGAGCTTGGCCAATTGTGTATGCCCCCTCCCCACACACAGAGGAACTAAGTTAGCTTCACTTTTCCGTGCTCCACTTCCCCATAAGATGCTCAGCTATTTTTCTAACTTAGTTTTAAAATTCAGCTGACCACTTACAGTCCTGCTTCCAAGGACACTAGATACGTCATAGTTTTCTGAGGACCAGTTGTCTCACCTGCTGGCTCCGTGGTGCTCGGAGGGTGGGGCCTGTCCGGAGCTGCACTACCTTAACACCACTTCTGTGACCCTGCCTAAGCACGGGTTGCGACATCAAGGACGAGTGTCGGATTCCAGAGAGGCCAACCCACAGGCTGCTTTGCTTCAGTTACCACCCCATAGGTTAGGTAACGACAGCACCACTGAACCAGGAAACCCTGGAGCACCATGTGCAGGCGCATTAGGGAACTGCCGCTGGAAAGTGGTTAAAGAAAACTGGAGAGGTAAGGCTGGAGGTAAGGCTAAAGGGCAGGAGGTTAGCTGTAAACAGACATGGAAGGGCTGGAGAGATGGCTCAGCGGTTAAGAGCACCAGCTGCTCTTTCAGAGGTCCTGAGTTCGATTCCCAGCACCTACATGGTGGCTCACAACCATTTATAACAGGGTCTGGTGCCTTTTTCCAGCAGGACTGTGTACATGTAGAGTACTCATACATAAAATTAAATAAAGTTTTTTAAAAAATCAAAGAGAATCTGTGGCTCTTACTGTGTGGCCTTAAAAAAAAAAAGATATGGAGAAAAGGTATTAAAGCTGAACAAAGCCTGTCACAACAGGCTGAGGCATTACTGTGCCTGTGTGCCCGCCTGTGTGCCCGCCTGTGTGCCCGCCTGCGTGTGGTGCTGGGTCTGACATGGGCTGGCACAAGTTAAGCTAGACCTCTACAGTTTTGTCCGAGTCATGTTCTACTGCTGTGAGCAGGCACCATGACTAAGGCAATTTATAAAGAAAGCACTAGCAGGGCACACATTTAATCCTAGCACTCGGGAGGCAGAGGCAGGTGGATCTCTGGGAGTTGGAGGCCAGCCTAGGCTACAAGAGCTAGTTCCAGGACAGCTAGGGCTGTTACACAGAGAAACCCTGTCTCAAAAACAAACAAACAAACAAACAAAGCATATATATATATATACTGAACTAATCTTTTTAGGTAACAAAACTATTCTAGACTATGTCAATGGCCACCCATAACTGTGAATACACTAAAGACCGCTGAATTGTATTCTTTGATTGGTGAACTTTCTGAAACCTATCTCAATAAAGCTGTCTCTAGGGGGCTGGAGAGATGGCTCAGTGGTTAACAGCATTGCCTGCCCTTCCAAAGGTCCTGAGTTCAATTCCCAGCAACCACATGGTGGCTCACAACCACCTGTAATGAGGTCTGGTGCCCTCTTCTGGCCTGCAGATAGAATATTGTATACATAATAAATAAATATTAAAAAAAGCTGTCTCTAAAACTGCTATCAGATGCACACAGATGCACCACACTGCACATGTGGAAGTCAGCTTTCTTTCCACCACATGGTACCTAGACATTTAATGCAGACAGTCATATTTGACAGTAAGCACCTTAATATGCTAACTTTAGGAGCCCTTAATCTGATTTATTCACACACACACACACACACACACAGACTCTATTTCACAAGTAGCCTAAATGTGTCCTCTAGATGCCTCACTATTAGCAAGCTATGGACAAGTCAGATATAAACCTGTATTTGACAAATTTTAGTAAGAAATGTAAGTCAAAAGAGAGAACCAGAAGTGAGCCTTTAACAGTACTTTAGGAAAAGAGGAAGGCTACAGGCCTGTGAGGTCATCTAAATGGCCCTGAGCATCCCGAATGTGCTGTGATGTAATCTTATCAGTCCTGGGAGCACCACCACTGGAGTGCAAGTACCTTACTACTGAGGCAAGGAGGAGGAGTTCCTCGACTTCAAGTCTCCCTGTCCCTGGCCGGATTAAACTCATTTTCTGGGGCCAGTGTCTCCACTATTTTTCAGGATATGAAAGGGGGAGGGCAGAAACCAACTTGTCTTTTTTGAGACGGGACCTCTATAGCTTAAGCTGGAGAGAGAGAGAGAGAGAGAGAGAGAGAGAGAGAGAGAGAGAGAGAGAACGGGCATGTACACAGAGCATGTGTGGAGGTCAGAGCACAACTTGCAAGAGTAGGTTTTCTCCTTGCATCACGTAGATCCCCGGTATCAAACTCAGGTCCATGGGCTTGGCTGCAGGGACCTTGAACTGGGATCTCTCTGGCCCAACAACTCAATTTGTAAGAGACCACAGCAAGATGGGAAAGGGAAAGCACACATTAAACGTTTTTTGTGGGTTTCGGTTTGGTTTTGTATGACACTATGTTATAAAGCTGAAGGACTCATAATTAAAAGGACTTCCCTTTAGCCAGGCCGGGTAGTCCAGGCTCTTAATCACAGCCATTGGGAAGCAGGCAGAAGAGCACAATATCAGAGTGAGCTCAGAGTCAGCCTAGGCAATTTAGTGAGATCCTGTCTCAAAATTAGCAAAAAGGTGAGGAGGAACAGGGAAGGAGAGGTGGCTCAGCTGTTCAGAGCGTGTATTGCTTTTCCAGAGGATCCAAGTTCAATTCCCAGCACCAACATCAAGCATCTCACAACCACCTGTAACTAAAGAGATCCAATGCCTCAGACCCGCACTCACTTATACAAACCCACACAGACACCACACAGCGCGAATGAAAAATAAAATACTTCTTTAAAAAATACAAACAATGTGGTACATAGACATACATGCAGGCAAAACATCTAAACACAAAGTAAAAGTTAAAAAAAATAAAAATAAACCAGGTCATGGTTGCACACACTTTTAATCCCAGCACTCAGGGGGCAGAAGCAGGAGAATCTCTATGAGTTCGAGATCAGCCTGGTCAACAAGAGCTAGTGTCAAGCCAGGCTCCAAAGCTACTGAGAAACCCTGTCTCAAAAACATTTTTTTTAAAATGGTGGTAATAAAGCTCAGAGGTAGGCGGGGCACTTGCCTAGTAGGCATGAGACTCTAGGTTCAACACCGAGTACCACACACAACTCTCCTTCTAAGATTTCATTTTTCCTAACTAGAATATACAAAGGTACTCTTTCTTTTATAAAACCACAAGAAGTATGTCTGGTAAAAAGAGAGCAGGTCTTTATGCCTTTTGTATAAAAAGCCGAAGTTCACTTGCCTTGTGTAAGACCTCCATGCTTTCTCAAATTTCAGCAATGCACGTTTCCCACAAATCTGGATGTCGCTCGTCACAGAATTCTTTGGGACCAACAAGATAGCTCAGGCAGAGGGGAGGAGGTGGAAAATTTTAATAAATAAATTAATTAATTAAAAAAGATAGCTCAGGCAGTAAAAAGCACCTGCAGCCAAGCCTAACCTCCGAGTGTGATCACCAGGACTCACAGGACGGAAAGAAACCAACCCTGAAAGTTATCTCTAACACACAAGGCCTGTGGCACAGGCCTTCTCTACCATTCCCCCAGCTGCGCAAAGGAAAGGGGAAAAAAATTAAGGTTCTTTTGTAGACCAGGCTTGCCTCGAAGTATTTTGGTGAAGGAATTCTCAAATCCTTTGCCAAGCGTGAACCCTGATGAGTTTTTCTTGGCTACATAAAATGTTAATAAATCTTCTGAGGAAATCAACATGGTGGCTCACACCTGTAAGCCAATTCTTACAAGATTCCCCCAATTCTCACACCTGTGTTCTCAGAAACTGCCTGGACTCCTGGCACTCTCGAGGCTGAGGCAGAAAACTACCTTCAGTTTTAGGCCAGCCTGGGCTACACAGTGATTCTGTGTCAAAATAATAATGGCAATGGGGGAGAAAAGCTCAATGGGAGAAACATAGTGAGGTCCAACACTCAGGAGCAGAGTGGATAGATCGAGGCCAGCCTGGTCTGCAAAGAGAGTTCCGGAACAATCAGGGCTACACAGAGAAGCACTGGTTCAAAGAAAAAAGAAGGAAAGAAGGGAGGGAGGGAGGGGGAGAGGGAAGGAAGGAGGGAAGGAAGGAAGGAAGGAAGGAAGGAAGGAAGGAAGGAAGGAAGGAAGGAAGGAAGGAAGG